AAAAATGAAAAAACCTTCTTTATTTTCTTAAATTTCATGTCAAGTCAAACTAGGTCATTTGTTTATAAACAAAAGAATATATATTATGTGAGCTATAAAATGATTTATTTTTTTTAAAATGAAGAGAATTTTACCAAAATAGTGTACTTGTACTATTACTGTAAATATACCTTTTTTGTTCCATATCAGTTGGTTATATTTCGCTTTTTAATATATTGTATTTTTATATGAAATTGACACGTATAAAATTGTAACTTATAATACTTTTAGTATAATTTAAAAAAAAATTGCAACTCACGTAGTAATTTGTTGACTTCACCAGATAATTCCAAAAATAATCAGAGATTAATATATATGAAAAATAATAATTTTGAAAACAAAAATATTTTGGCTCTTTAAAATAGTGAGTGAGTCATTTTCCATACAACTATAATTTGGATGGTTGACAAATGACAATAAATGGATCATCGACGCTACCAATTAAAAATAATATCTTTATTAATTATATAATACATATAAAAATTAGGTATAATTGATCTGATTAATGTTGGGTTTTATTTGCCCTGAATTTCTTACCATAAATAGGTTTTCCTTTTAGGAAAAGATTTTGGATTGACTAGTCCTTTTCTTGTAGGAAAAGGTTTAGGACTCTATAAATAGAGGTTTGTTCCTTCTAACTTAATCAGCATTCACAATGTAGTCTTAAGGGCTTTGAGAGTTTTGATTAGGGGGAGAATTTGTGGGTCACAAGCTTGATACGTTATCACTTGTGTGAACCTCCCATGTATTCCGAGTGAATTGGTTGAGGTTATTTCTCTCTATATTTTGTACTCTCATGTTTATATAGTGGATTGCTCATCTCCTTTGTGGACGTAGGTCGATTGACCGAACCACGTTAAATCTTTTTGTCTTTGTATATTTCTCGTTTGTCTTCTTACTCATGGTCTTTCGAGGTTTGCTTTGCTAGCTTCCGCGTTACACCTGCTTATTTCGGTCCTAACAATTAATTCATATTTTTGTTGTATTAAATTTATTAACAGGAAACACATCCAATAAATTCATTAATTATTTTATTTGATATTCTTATTCTTGATAGGTAATCTGAATTAATCATCCGATAGAATCAACTTTGTCAAATATTATAGAATAAACAATATTGCTTAAAATAATCATATTAAACAATAAAAAGAACATCAATCACTAGGAGTAGTAGTCTATATTCTCTGGTCTTATTATTTTTTAATAGAGTTGATGAAAGAGTTGGTGATTTAGTGGTCTAAAGTCAGAATATACAATATATATTTGAGAATTTGAATTATTTTTATTAATTATAAATTACTTAAAGAGGTAGAGATGGACGAAGATTTGAAATTTACTATATAACTGAATAGAGAAGAGAACAATATAAATAATTAATACGGTAAAGTAAAGAGGATGCTAAAACAAAATAAGAATAAGATAATAGGAGAGTAATAAAACAATACTAATAAGAAAATTAGACAATGCTCGACAATCTTCTATTCTAATTTTCAACTTTCAAATCTTTCTATCTACGGAAAAGGGTCAAAATTACCCTTGAACTATGTGAAATAGACCACTTATACCCTTCGTTACATTTTGGGATAAAAATACCCCTACCGTTATCCTACCACAAATACCCTCAAGAGTTAATACCCCAAATTTTTAGTGACATGGCAAGCCACGTGGGACTAATCCTCCCACCTAAGCGTTGCCAACTAGGATTCACTATAAAAGAACTAGACCTTTAGCGGCGACAATAGTCACCACAAAATCCTGAAATATTGCCACAAAAGGTTATGAGTAATTTTTAGTGTCGACTAAGGCTGAAACAACCATTCTCTAGTAAAAACTAATAATTAAATAATATTATCAAAATTTATCTAATAATTAAATAATATTAGCGGAGTCTTTCATAAAGTAATATAAGTTAAATTATAGCATAACATCAAGAAATATTAACAACACAAAAATTATCATATTATCTCACATCCTATATAAATAAATCAATAAAAGAGAATATCAATAAAACTCCATAGTTTCCACACATCCAAATGTGGAAATAAAATCAATGAGAAATACCAATTTCTAATATCAAGTGAAATTTGATTGCTTTGGATTATTTTATCAACTTTTATAAATAAATAAAAAAGAAAAAAAATCACCGAATAGATAGAAAAACTTATCTGAATTTTTAAAAAATACTAACCTAGATTTTTAATTTATGGAGTTTCACTATTCATTTATTTTCTACGATTTAGAAATTTTGAATATTAGCATTTCATATAAGATATGAAGAAAACAATAATTTTGAATAGAATAGGTCAATTGCTCCATAAAATTTTATAGATGAGAAATTATGGTGGTGTAGGGGGAATGTGATCGTGGGAAGAAATGGGAATGAGAATAGTAGGTGGTTTATAAACATTCAAACAAAAAGTTATCCGCAAATCAAATTTAACACTTTCCTATATTTTCATATTCAATATTTATTTGTTTTTCTTTTCAATTTATTTTTAACATTGTCTTAATATTCAATTTAAATGGTTAACGGTGATTTAAAATAGATGAGATAGTATTGAATTTTTTTTCTTCCATATTAAAAATAGTTAATGCAATTTGCAGGGTTTGTGTATAAGTGAAAATGTAATGAGAAGTTTTAAAACTACCTATTTAATATAATACCTATATTTAATATAAAAGGACATGATCATATAATTTAGTGCATGTTTAGATTAAATTATTTTTAGATACTTTTAAATTTTAAAGGAGAAAAGTGACTCACCTGATCAACCATTTTTGCGTAATACATCAATACTTTTAAATTTCGTGCAGCCTCTCCTTCTTCACCGCCTCATAACCACCAAAAAAACTGAGCGCATTATTTATTTTTGTTGCTAATTGGAATATATATTGTTCTGACATTCACGTATAATGTAGGCTTCACAATTGTGGTAACCATTTGTTGTATTTTAAAATGGAAATTTGTTGATGCAATTGCAATAAAACTGACATAAGTAGTTTTTTCGATTTGAAATTTTCTATCTGGTTGACAAAACGTGTCTTTCACATTATTGACTGGTGTGCTCAATTATGTTTTAATTTTATATAAATAATATATTAATTTCAATAATAGATATGTAAATTATTGTTTTTTTGTGTGCTGACACGTAGATGCTATCACCTCTACTTATATATATAGATAGATATTTATTTCTTTATTTTAAAATTTTAAATTAATTAATTTTTGATAATTCATAAACTCTAACTTCTATATTTATAAAATTTATTTTTTTAAAATTAGACATATAGCATTTTATTAGGAACAAACATATTTAATTTATTAAAAAAAACAGAAATCAATACAGCAGTTTTTAAGGTAAGCAAATTTAAAAGAACGGTTTTTAATTTATGTTTTTTTAAATTTTTTGTTTTTTAAATTGTTATTTATTAGTTAATATTTTCATAAATTTTGTGGTGCTGACACGTAAGCGTTTCTTATTCTCCTTTTATATATATATATGATTGTTGGATATTTTTCCCCAATACAATCAATATTTTAAAGAAAATGATTATACGCCTCCGAGCCATCTTCGTTCTTCAATTATATTTCCTATTATTTCGTTTTTGGAACAAGATGACCCATAGTGTTTTTTAAAGTAAAGTTGTCTGCTTTCGATGACAAAGAAAACCATTAACATAATTTACAATTTCAAAATATACTTTTTTTTCATCCATAAATTAGTTTAAGGAGAGGGTCGTCATCTGATTCACTTTTTCTTTTTTGAAGGAATTTCCTAGTTACTTCTATTTAAGTTGGAAGAAAATCCTAATATAATAATTATAATTAGTTTAAAGAGATCATCTTTAAGCCATTAACATAATTTACAATTAGTTTAAGGAGATCATCTTTCGTTTTCTTTCTATACACATAATTTTTTTTTGTTTTTTTTCAAACGTACAGTTGAATCCATGGCATAACAAAAAATATACTAAAAAAGCTACACCATACTCTAGAAATAAATTAAAAATAGGAAACCTATAGAAAATTATACCTCTAAATGTGAGTTTCTGATAAATTTCATTTGTATTAACATCTTCTTCTTTGTATAGTGTTTTTGAAAGTCAAGTCGTCTGCTTTCGGTGATGAAGAAAATCACTTTTTCTTTCTCACTAACTTTCCCACTTCCTTTTATTAAAGTTGGGGTGGGTGTGGCTCAACATGGATTGAGTAATTCATTGTGCATACATTTAGAGAGATGGATAAAATTATTTTCTTTTTATAATAGATGTAGAATAACATTTATGAAACTCGTTTTTCCTGTTTCTACAAAAAAAAATCAGTTTCTTTATATTTAAGTAACTTATTTTTAGTAATAACAATATTTTTTAAAAACATTTTTGATCAATTAAACATAAGAAAATCGAACATTTTTTTGGAACATATTTTCCTCCTTTCCAAACACATCAAAGACATCTTTTGATGGATGAAGACTTTTTCAACCTGTTACAGTACATATTCTTTCTTTATAGTTGTTGATTCTTTTTTTCAATTCAAGTAGGGCCATGTAATTAATTCACTTTTTCTTTCTTACCAACTTGCCTCTTCTTTCTTAAGGAGTTTCCTAATAATTCTAATGACAAGTGGAGTAGAGAGCATTAAGAAGCTGCTTATTTCACAGAAACATTCATCTTTCATTTTGCTTTATATTTCTTCATCTTATTATTATCACACCTACACATAGTTTGTATTTTCTTCTCAGACATCCATGGCATCTTCTTCTTCTTCTTCTTCTTATGCGAGTGATTCGCAATACCGTCCGCTATGGAAGTATGATGTCTTTTTAAGTTTTAGAGGTGTCGACACTCGGAGAACATTTACGGGTCACTTGTACGAAGGTTTGGAAAACAGTGCAATATGCACCTTTCAAGATGATAAAAGGCTAGAGATTGGCGATTCCATCCCAGAAGAACTCTTGAAAGCTATCGAAGAGTCTCAAGTTGCTCTTGTCATTTTCTCAAAGAAGTATGCTACATCTAGGTGGTGCTTGAACGAACTAGTAAAGATCATGGAATGCAAGGAAGAAAAAGGACTAATAGTCATACCGGTCTTCTATGATGTATATCCATCAGTGGTTCGGAAGCAAAAAAAGAGCTTTAAAGTAGCATTTGACCAACATGAATCGGAGTATGCGAATGATGATGAAGGAAAGCAGAAGGTGAAAGGATGGAGAACTGCTCTAAGTGCTGCCGCTGATCTAAAAGGTTGTAATGTTCATCGCAGGTGAGTAAAAAAACACACAAGTTGAATCATAAATTTATTTATCATGAAGACTAGTTACACACAATAGCTAGCTAATATTCTACTATAGAACAACTGTGTACCTCAAAAATTTATTTATTTCAATCGAGTAAATAAATTTTATGGTCATCCAAGTATACTAAATTACTTGCTAAAGTCAATTTGTGTCGATTTATATCAATTTAATTACTCAATTGTTGACGATGTTTTGAGGAGTTTGATTTATGTGTTTTGTCCCTTTTATCATGATTATGCACTTACACACTGTGATGTACTTCTTGTTCTTACTATTTGTAGGATTGAATCAGAATGTATTAAGGAACTTGTTGACGATGTTTCTTTCAAATTGTGCAAGACTTCTTCATCTTATTTGCAATATACTGTGGGAATAGATACTCATTTGGAGGAAGTAAAATCCCTACTAGAGATGAAAACTGATGATGTCCGGATTTTGGGGATCTGGGGAATGGGGGGAGTCGGTAAAACGACTCTAGCAAGAGCTGTTTTTGAAACTCTCTCACCTCAATTTCAATATAAAAGTTTCCTTGAGGATGTCAAAGAAACTAACATAAATGAAATGCATTCTCTACAAAATATCCTTCTCTCTGAACTGTTAAGGGAAGACAAAAAATATGTGAATAATAAGGAGGAGGGGAAGTGTTTGATGGCTCGTAGACTTCGTCTTATGAAGGTTTTAGTTGTGCTTGATGACATTAATCATCATGATCATTTGGAGTATTTAGCAGGGCATCTTAGTTGGTTTGGCAATGGAAGTAGAATTATTGCAACAACTAGAAACAAGCAAACTATAGGGAAGAATAATGTAGTTTATGAAGTGACTACACTACCCGAACATGATGCTATTCAGTTGTTCAATCATTATGCTTTCAAGGGAGAAGCTCCAGATGAGCATATTAAGAAGTTGGCTCTAGAGGTAGTAAGTCATGCTAATGGCCTTCCTTTAGCCTTGAGATTGTGGGGGATTTGGTTACATAATCAAGATAAAACTATGTGGAGAGAAGCTGTAGACCTGATAAAGAAAGAATCTAGTCCAGATGTTGTTAAAAACCTCAAAATAAGTTTTGAAGCGTTGCAAGATGAAGAGAAAACAATATTTCTAGATATCGCATGCTTCTTTAGAGGGATGAGGAAAGATGACATCATTAAAATTCTTCAGGGCTATGATTTGTACGCCCGTATCAGATTGCATGGTCTAATTGAGAAATCTCTTGTGTTCATCTCTACATATGATAGAATTCAAATGCATGACTTAATTCAAGACATGGGTAGATATGTGGTGAAAAAGCAAGAAGAGTCCGGACAACCCAGCAGGCTATGGAACGTTGCAGATTTTGAAGCTGTGGTCAACAATACTGTAAGTAGGCTAAATACTGCAATAATAATCAATTTTTAATTTTCATATATCAAAATTCATTTATCTTATATTATCAAGCCATGAATTAGTCTAGTAGATGTTTAATCTAACTTTCATTCATTAGATTAACTTGAAATTCATACGATTCTTTGTACATAATAACTCAATTAGTTATTTTTTAAGCTAATATTATACAACTATTTACTTTGAGTAACATTTTGTTAAAAAATTCTGTAATGGAAAAAATTCTAAAAGCAAATATCACCCATTTATTTACCCTAAGTAATTTTTTATTAGTAAAAATTCAGAAATGAAAAAAAATAATTTAGGAGGGCCAATACTTACCTTACTAATTCACTTACCATTTTGTTTTATGAGAGTATGTAAAACTTTTTAACTTGAGTCTAATAAACTTCTCAAAAAATGTATCATTTAAAAATAAAAATAACTACGCAAAGCATTTCTCTTAACTAATATTTGTACCTTAAATTTTATTTGATGGTGCTGGCTCTTCAAGTACAATAATAAATAATATAAAACATGACAAAAATTAGCATTCGGGGGTAGAGTAAGAAAACAATGATATTGATAAGTGGATTGTACATGACATGTTGATTCATGATCTTTTTACTAGGGGACAAAGAGAATGGAAGCAATCTGGTTTACTTATTCTGAAAAACCATTCTTTAGCAAAGATCAGGCAATGAAAAATATGCAAAGGCTTAG